CATGGAACACCTGTGGAGATTTGGATGTTATTGTAAACATGGTGGGAAGCTATCTGACAATTCTGTGTTGAGAACTGATGTTACCTAACATAGTTGGAAATGATTATTAGAGCTGCAATGTTGAAAAGATTCAGCACTAAAGGAAAGCCAGAGTTGAGTGTCTTGTAGCTCAGGGGAAAGTGATAACGCTTACCACTACAGGAGTGGCAGTGGGGATGGAGAACTGTGTCAGCACACAAGATCCACTCTGAGATTGCTGTGGGCTGTTAACTGATGCAATGGAAATGCAAGGGAGACAAGGTAGAGTGTAGGTTCATAGTTCGTGGAGTCGGGTGTTGGTGCTTAGTGAGAAAACTCAGGCGAACGACTGTTTGGGTGGATGGAATAGAGATTATCTTGGTGCTACTGGAAAGTTTATGATGCCTTTTAGATATTTTCTAGCTGGTTTGGGGGAAGTGTTGGATATGTGTTTGGAGTGCACTAGAGCCAGTGGAGCTGTTTACACTGCTCAATTGCCATCACAACGTCACTGCTGTAGAAGAGGACATAGACAGGACGAATATACAATGTTCTCTTTTTAAAGTCACAAATTCTCCCTTTGTGTTCATGAGGATGGCACTGTTTCTTTTGAATAGTGATTTCTTCTTCATAAAATAAGAGTTTGGGGATGTGATTAGCATTTTTCAACTCCAACATTTCATACATATATGATTTCCACTCATAAACTGCTGTTCTGTCAGGAAGCATTTATTCTACAAACCCTGGTGGAATTCTGGTCTGGGAAAAAAACCATTTGCCATGTGACTTTATGACCAAGTAATGGCAACATCATTCACTCTGAGTGCTTTTATCCATCTCTTCCTGCTAATACCGCAGGAGAGATGAAGTCAGGGACTCACTATAACAAGCAGTGTTGCTTCTCAGCTGCACATTAAAAAGTGTAACTGCAATGCCATGTATGTGTCTTTGTCAGTGAATTTGTAAATACTAAGTCAATTGGATTCCTGGACTAGATGAGGTGATCTCTAGGTGTTTCCATGATCTTATAAACACATTAAAAGGTCAAATTTCAGAAAATTTTCTGTTAAAAGTACATATATGTTCTCTGAACACTCAGAGTCATATCTGAGTTTACTTTAACATGCTTACCAGTGATGAGAAATTCTATTCTAGTAAATAATACTGTTCTCCAGCACTAGTGAGCACAGCTTCTTCCTTTCCAAGGTGGTGTTATTTGCATCTTGTTTGACTTCATCACTCTACCTTCCCTGACACCTGTCAATCTCCTGTTTAAATGGCCATGGAGGATGGGGGTGAGGGCAGGTAGGAGAGAGATGACTCAATGTTTCTAGCACCTGTGCCATGCTTGGCCACCTCACATACATCTGTAACTCCAGCTCCAAAGGACCCAACCCAATGCCCTCTACTGTCACCCATGCACATGGCATGCTCATAATTGTAGTTGGTTTTTTTTTTTTTTTTTACTCTTTTACTCTTTGGGGGGGCCAACCACCCAGCTCCTAAATAATCACACAAAGACTTATTATTACTCATAAACACCCAGTCTTAGCTTGCCTTGTTTCTAGCCAGCTTTTCTTAACTTAAATTATGCCATCTACCTTTTGCCTCTGGGCTTTTATCTTTCTCTGTTCTCTATACCTTTCTTTGCTTCTTATTCTATGGCTTGCTGTGTAGCTTGGTGGCCAGTCCTGATGTCCTCTCTCCTTCTTTTGTCCTCCCTGATCTCACCTCTTCCCTCTACCTACCAGCCCCACCTATTTTTCCTCTCCTGCCTAGCTATTGGCTGTTCAGCTTTTTATCAGACCAATCACGTTTCAGACAGGCAAAGTAACAAAGCTTCACAGAGTTAAACAAATGCAACATAAAAGAATGCAACACATCTTTGCATCAGTAAACAAATGTTCCACAGCATAAACAAATGTAACACATCTTCAACTACTATTCCACAACGCGTAATGACAAGCACATACATCATAAATGAAAATTAAAAAAAATATTTCTTACAATGCCCACCTGAATTTACCTCTTGCTGTAATTATTGAGCTCAAGAAGAAAGATGTGAGTCAAATGGTTTGGATGAAAACCTAATTGACGTAGCTTTTAAAGTGAATGAAAAAAGAAAAGTGATAACAAAGAGAGGGAATTCAAGTTCTGTTGTGAAGGGAGATGTATATGGTGGAAGGAGAGGTTCTTCTGTCACATGGATGATGTCACTGAAAACACACAGGTGAGAATAGCCCAGATAAGAGGGGAAAATCATAATGAGAGTGGAAGATATCAGATACTGGGGTCCAGGACACAAGTCAAAGGCTTGGCTGAGATAGGGAACAAATGTCCTGTTAATTATAGCAGCAAGAACACTGTTGTCCCAGCCTGTAAAGAGTCTGGAGATGTTCTTTGGGTGCTTGTATTTTCTGAGTGAAATAACAAGCGAAAGTACCAGCAAGAAGAGAAGAGAAGAGAAAGATCTGAGAAGAGAGGCAGTCTGGTGAGCCAGCGACAAGGGTTGGAGTTGATTAACTGGGGAGATAGAGGAATTCAATGGGGTGTTGTTCGTGTGCAGACAAGAAAGCCACACTCTAGCACGTGTCCATTACAACACATATTGAAGAGAGCATGGGAGACAAAAGCACTTCAGGCTGAACTTGGTCCTGCAAGGTAGGAAGCAAGCAACCGAGGCAAGTGATAGCAGGGAATACGGTTCAGAGGACACGGGAGTGTTGTTGAGGAACGGCTTCCCTAGGGACATTCTGAGAATGACCCATGAGAAGGGAGTGGGTCCAGGAAGCTGCTCAGAATTGCCCTCCATTGAGCAGGGACCTTTGCCATAACATCTCTTGTGCTGTGGACTGTCCAGCCAGACTCTTACAAGTGGCTGTCACTTCCCTTGGCCACAAACCCCATACCCGTTGTTGTTTTTTGTCTGTTATCCACGTGAAGCTGTTACTGGCAATATTGTTTGGACGCCTGTATGAGGTTCGGCTTGGCCAGTGCCTTTGGTCCCCTTTTCAGTGTTTTCTGACAGGCCGGCATCTCCCACTCATTTCTCCAGTGAAGCTGTGGTATCAAGAGGAGATTTTCCATGGTTCATTGAGCTTCTGTTCAGAAGACAACATCGGTCGTCTTCTTGTAAATATTTTCTTTGAAGGCCCTTTGAGCTGTCTTCTCCTTTTCTCAAATCAGTCTTTTCTCCTCATGAAACTCCTCTAGTAGATCTTGGCTATGTAGTCCAGGGTAAGTGATGGCGATGATTACAACAGACCTGCCTGGTGTCATCTCTCTGAAGAATAGTTTTCTTAACTCCACTGTTTCCACTGAAAAAAGACTTTTTCTTTACTTTTTTTCCTCATTTTCTGTGGTCCTGCATGTTCTTTCTCCCCAAACTGCAGGACATGTGTTCCTACAGTTACGTAGCCAGAATGCAAAGCTATTGTAGTGTCTGTTCTCCAAACTCTCAGCAGTGTGCAAACAATTATGTATTTAAGACAGGAATTGCTGATTAGTGTTCAGGACTAGGACAATTGGACAGAAAATAGTTTTCTAAAATGCACTTAAAGATGTTTAAGCATGATGGGCTGAATTTTCTCCTATGCTGACTACCCAGGAATAATAGAAATTAAGTTGTCATCACAAAGGACATGGATATTGAAATTTTCTTTCTTCATTTTGATAAGGTTTTTAATTGGTATGTATTTTTCTTGGCTTGATCATCTCTGCTGGGCTTGGAGATATGTGGGTCTTATTGTATTATAGCTCATTTCTGTATATTCTTATTCTCCACCAAAATATAGTGTGAGCTGTGACAGTTTTTACAAAATATTTTCAGTGTACCCACCTCCTTTTCAGCCTTCATCCCAAACAGAACACCTTCCCAGCAACGCCTTCAAGCCGTCTCACTCTACTCCCGTGCCCACCTGTATATTCACGGTGCTGTTATCACACCCAGAGCTAATTCTTTAAGGTTTTTGTTATATACAAAAATAAAATGTTTGACACATAAAAGTGAGATCAAAATTTAACTGTCTTACTCCTTTATAATGTACTAAAACCTGGGCTTGTAGAATGAAGGCATGCCAAATTTTCCACTCATTAACAGTAGCTTCAACGTAATTGGCACTACATAAATAACTGTTGAAAAAAATAACGAAAACTCCCACTATACATCCACCAAGTCAGATTTAAGGGTTGCGTCATCATGTTCAGGGCTGCTTCAGGTGGATGGACCACATGACATCTAAAGAGGTTCTCTTCAAAGTTTGAGGAATTTTTTATTCAAACATTTAAACATGTTTAGATTTTTAAGCCTAGTTATATGTGAATATGACATAAACTAAAATTTTATACAGAAAAAAGTGTAGGTTTTTTCCTGTGGTTACATTATGCATATGCTGCTAACTAGGATGATTGGCAAACTAATTGCACATGTATTGACTTAGCCAAATAACTAAAGTATCTAAGTAATGTTTCATTTGTAATCTAATTCCTTGTTTACTTCTTAATTAATTGTTTGGGTCCACTCATAAAATATTATGCCCTTCCAAAATGGTAAAGATCATTGACTTTTTAAAACTTTAGAATTCCACAATGAATATTTCTGTATCTTAGAATTTTATTTCTGAATTACTGTTATGATTTGATCATCCGGGTAGTAGAAAATCAGTTATAAAGCACTACTAACATTCATGTTGGAGATTTTCTAGCAGATAAGATTTGCTGAAATGTGAGCTTGAAGAGCTTCTACACTAACTTCATCCTTTCTTGAGAAAAGTAGTATTTTCAATTTATTTATATTAAGTAACCTTGTGAAATATGTCCTTGTGAAAGTTTTGTAGCTTCCATGGACATGGTTTATTTACCTTTCCCCTGTAACGTTTCCAGCATTTTCTAGCTCAAGTTGAGTTATTTAAAATGAGAGTATAACTTGAAATCTGTTACATCAAGGACTATTGACTTTTGAACCCCTGAACACTCTCTTCTAGCTGCTTTCGAAATCTATTGAACAACTGAAGCAACCAGGCAGCCACCTGGAAGAAGCAGAGGAGGAGCTGCAGGGGGACCAGTCCATGGAAGACAGAGCAACCTCTAGCGACATCAGCACCAGGAGCAGCAGCAGTGCTTGTGTGGATGACACACTGGGACAAGTTGGGGCTGTGAAGGTCAAAGAGGAACCAGTGGACAGCGATGAAGATGCTCAGATTCAGGAAATGGAATGTGGGGAGCAGGCTGCTTTTATGCAACAGGTAATAGGCAAAGATTTAGCTCCAGGATTTGTAATTAAAGTCATTATTTGAACATAAATGTGTTGCAGATTTTGGTAAATGGTTATCATTTCCTATCAGCGTATATCTCTGATTTTAGTGTTTAAGAATTCTAAAACAGGTAAAATGATTTTTTTTCTATATAAAGATCACTCTATACTGATCTCTGGATGGGTATGGTTATCAAGGTTTTATTGAACCTTCACTGGTAAAAAAAAAATACCTGTTACACTAAAATTATGCTATATAATATCCAGGTAATTAATAGGCTTTAAATCCATCTCAAAGCCCGATACAACAGTTCCTTCTAGGGAAAATGAACTCGTTGTTTTTAGTGTTATCTGCTGAGGTCTGTGAGTACAGAATATAGTCTCCCGGCCTGATCAATGAAGCATTCTGTTAGATATGATGTTTTTTAACATATAGAATTCATTTTTCATACAACTGTACATACTGTATCATACCATAGTCTTGAACACTGTTGAAGGTAGTCTGCCCCCGCCCCCTTTTCCTCTCTTTTTTTGTTAAGTAGAAATGTGGTTCCCATGCCAGGAGCTCTAGGTTATTGTGTAGATTACAACTGAAAGTCTTATCAGTTCAGGTGGTTGTAAGTCGAGGCGCACACTGAGGTTCTGTTTTGAACATTACATTATGTCTGACACAACATTGCACATTTCTTAAACCTTGTGTAATTTACTGATGTTGTGTACTGAAAGAGATCAAATGGAACTGAGGCAAAAGTTGGTGAGAAGTAATGTGCAGCCCTGTGGTCCAACAGATGCTGTGATGTATGCACAGCTGCAGAAATGTAGTATGACTACCACCTGATATCAGATTAAAACCAGTTTTACAACAGGGTGACTCATGTTTATACTTGATATCATTAGAATCCCTTGCATACAGTTCCATGGTATATACCATATCATTTTGACAAATAAAAAAATCTGAATGTTGGGTTTTACAGAAGAATCTGCTTGTGTGTGACACACCTCTAGAAGGACTATGTCCTTTGATGCTATAAAAATACAAACAACTTTGAAGGCAACAGAGATAATGTTTATTTAAGTCAGCTCTTTGTCAGGTTCCTGCTGTTCTACAGAAAAGCAATTCTGGGAAGGGACAGGAAATGTCTTGTGGAAACAGGAAGTCCAAGTGATTCATGTACTGGGGAATGTAGGAAAAAGAATCCAAGGATAGTGTTCTACTCTTTCTGTGTTTCAAGGGTGTTCTATGAATTGATTTATTGTCTAGGAAAATCACACCACAAATAGGGAAGCCCTTACGGAAGCTATTTGCCAGAATATTTCCTTCATATTCCCTTCTGATGTGTTTGCCTGCTTTTATGGGTTTACTTTTGTTAAGCTAGTTAAACGTATGCTGTATTGAGACCCCTTTAATATGGATAATCCAAATTGACCGAGAATCTTCATGAGCTTTTGAGCTTTTTTTCTATTAAAATATTTATATTTCTTGATCCATGGTATTTTAAGGTGTAGTATCCTGTTTCAAGGAGACATAGCACTTTTGCCAAATATAGACATTGTTCAACTGTATGTTATTAGCACGTGTTGTTTACATTTTGCTGTGACATTTAAAACTATATTTCTTTTAAAATGTTTCTGCTAAAGATACATTATCCTTTTTTAAAAAGTCTCCATTTGAATTAAATTAACATAACTAGAGTTAGAAAGTTAAAAGTTTTTCCACATAATGAAAGTCCTTCTGATAATTTGACAACTCTTTCTAATAGGTAATTCTCCCTGTCATCACTGTGTTTGGGTTAATCTATTCCTTCATATTAAAATGACTTCTGTCACTTGTTTTGCATTAAAAATATGGCATGCCTAAGATAAAATTGTATATTTTTCCATCTCATAAATATTCATTTTCTTCAAATTCCTTTTTCAATCTCATAAAAAGGGATAGTGCATCTTTTAAAACACATTTTATTTGGGGAGGAACACGTGGCTGAGCAGACTTTTGTATAATATTACTTCAAAGATATGTGATCACAAACAAAAAAACCTATTTTTTATAATGTCATTTGAGAGAACTTCATCAGTACGTTTGGTGGACGTAATTGTTTGAATTTGATAGTCTTTGAATTTAGTCAAGAAACTACCTGGAACCAGTAAAACAAAAAGCTGGACATAACTAACCTTAGAATTAACTGATAAATGTCTCTTCTAAGATCTACTGTATTTATTATGATTTACACCCTTGGAGGTGATATCTTGTTTTGTGTTGTAAATATATTGTTTGTATGTTTCCCTTCTTGCCTTCTGTTATAAGTCTCTTCCTTTCTCAAATAAAGTTTTTTTTAAAAGATCCCTTTTCATACATTTGGCTTTGTGTAAATTTGATATATTTAATCGAATTTGAAAACTGTGCATTAGATCACATATACAAAATCTATTTCCATTTTTTGTTGAAACAAGAAAATGAAGATATTTTGAGAAGTTGCTTCTAATACCATTTAAAATAATGTAAAACATTAACAATATTGAACTATTTATATCAACCATTATCAACCAGCAGACATATGTAAAAATTGGTTGCATGCTCCATTTTCTAGTGTGGCCTTTTTAAGGATGTCTTATCCTCTTTGGTATTTAAGTTAAAATGTCATCCTCTAAATATAAAAAATATAAATAGTCTCTAATGCTATTCAACTTAAAAATTATTTTAAAACTTTTACATGGTCTGTCAAGAGCTCAGCATTAGCTACAGGCATCTGCTACGAAGCCTAGCAACATGACTTTGATTCCCAGGTCCCACATGGTGCAAGGAAAGAACCGACTTCCCCAGACTGTCCTCTAACTGCACATCAGTTGTGGCATGTGCACACACACACACACACACACACACACACACACACACACACACACACAAATAAAAGTAATTAAGAATTTTAAAATAAGCCAAATACACTCCCTTGAATATAACAAGTTCTCAATAAACATTAAAATGAGTCTTTTTACAAGTATCTTAATAATCAAGTCTATTACAACAAGATTCTGACCCACAGATAAAAGTGACAGTGAATAAATGTAAAGAGATAAGAGTAGTTAAATGAGTCCCCCATGTGTGGTGGCAGGTATTGTAGTGTTGTGTGAAGAATAGAGAGCCAGATAAAGACAGCTTTCGTGTGCACTAAGGTGTAGTGTGCGGTGATGGGAGCCAGTCCTGGAGCGTCCAGCTCATTCCTCTTCTGGTCTGTTGCCAGCAGGACTTCCTGTCTGAACTTCAGAATGTGCTACTATGTGTTTAATTAAAAGGGTTAAATGTGATTTTTTTAATGGCCTCTGGTTCATTTAATCTATTCTCTAATACTATCATGCAAGTTAGTGTTTCTATGAGTCAGAACGGTACTGCAGTACTATTACATGAGATATCATTCTGTTAGCATTGGTGAAGGTGGCGACCGAAGCCCACATGACTACTTTTCATAGAAAGCAGAAGTCTTTAAGAATTTTTATATTCATCATAGTAAAATCTAGTACCTGATTCATATAGATATTAATAGTATAAGTATTGTCTTTTCTCAATAATTGGAGCATGTAGTTCTAAATAATTGTGTATGGATAAAACGAGGTATACAACTAAGGATTAAATGAATACATGTTTCAGGTCTGTAATTGTAACCAGATGCAGTGAAGAACTCAGAGGTACGGGAGGACTTGGGCATTATTACTCACTTTATTATTAACTTCTCCATATCCATTTCGAAGAGGGGAGCACAGGTGGGGTGATTCAAAGAATGTAGACAAATATCAGGAAAGCTCAGAATGCGCCTTTTGAGTCCAGCTAAGACAGTGTTTAAATTTTAACATGTTTCTATTCATATAGTTGCTTCCTAGCATAATAACTTCCTGGAGTCTTAGCAACTGTTTAGACAATGCAATATTTTTGTATCTCTTTTATGAAATGGATTTTACTTTTAACTATGGCAAACCTACTAAGATGCATAAAGTGTAGTTGTAAGCACCTTAAATCTATTAACCTCTTCAATCTACCTGTACCTATCAAATTTAGTCCTTACCACAACCATTTGATGTGGGTATTGCATAGAGCACTCTTGGAAAAATCAGTCCATCTTTAATGTGAGCCCAGGCATTCTGGCACTGGAGTCTGTATCCTCAGCCCTGACTCCTCACTGTGTGTGCGGACACCTTTTATATATCCAAGTTGCTCACTCCCACCCACCATATTCAGCTGCTTCTATAGGTCTTGTCTTCCTCCACCTAGATCTCCCCTTTTCCATGAAGAATAACTGATTTGAATCAGTTCTTTAAATCATTACTGTAAATGACCAATGTCGAATATTTTCCTAATTCATAGATGAGAATTTTGGGCCCATGATATGTTTATCCATGTTTCATCATGAAAACGTGTATGCATCTTTCTGACTAGAGGCAGTGCTGGGATGGACTGAAACACTGTGTGCACTTGGGTTACATGTTGGAGAGGAAGGAATGCTTCCCAGTTAGTTTCAGCTGTCAACCTGTCACAGCCCAGAGTTATCTGAAGGAATCTCAGCTGGACGGTGGGTGTATCTGTGAGGCATTGTCTTAATTGCTAACTGATGCAGAAGAGCCTGGTCCGCTGTCAGCAATGGTTGTATAGGAAAGCTAGCTCAACAGGTGTGGAGGAGCAAGCCACTGAGCAGCATGTCGCTGTGGTTTCTGTTTGAACCTCTGTTTCGGCTTCCGCCTTGGCTTCCTTGGATGGTGGACTGTAACGTGCAAGTCCCTTTCCTCCCCAAGTCACTTTTGGTTGTGGTGTCTATCACAGCAAAAGAAACCATGGCAGAAGTGAAAAAGGAGGAACTTCAGTCGAGTTAGGCTGTCTGTTGGCACTTCTTGCCATCTTTTGGAGCTAAAATACAGTCCAGTGCATAAGCAGACACCGTCTCTTATCCTCTGAAATGCTGAGGCTGCACTTTATTAGTGCAGCCTCACTCTGCACTAATAAATAATCAC